CCCCAAAACCCCAAAACCCCAAAACCCCAAAACCCCATAAAAAAAGCATTAACTTGAGTTCCTTAATTCATTCTAAAATGGAGAGTTTGAATAGCTACCAAGAACAGCCTTTAAGTCCTGACACCTCTCTTAAAGAGAGTGTTTCAGCACAAGAACTTGAGTCCTCACAAAACCTTCTAACTTATCACTACCACATAACGCCCTTTGTATACTACCTGATTAAAAAATTTGGGCTGAAACCCTTACTAGTCAAAAGTCAACAGAAAGAGACCAATAAGTTTCAAAATGAAGAGGAAGACAAAGCACATGAAGAGGAGAAATGTAAGAAATGCAAGAAGCTAAAAGGACCATTTAGAAAAATCAAGAGTGGTTTTATTCGTCCGACTAAAAGCTGTCCGAATCTGGCTCCCTATTGAGAAGAATGCGAAGATACAACTGATACTAAAAATGCATATAATGAAAAAGATCTTTTAGAAGATAAACAAAGCTACCTCGAAGAGGAGAAAAGAATTAGAAAGGAAAATTCAATAAATGATCTTAAAAACTTTTAATGATCTTCAGAAAGATCTCAATTTGGAAGATACTAGTCAGGGCAAGGACCTTAGGCAGACTGAGCAAAGATCCAACAGCCAATATGCTCAGAATAAGATACGAAATTTTGAAAGTACTCGAAAGGATATTTTTGAAAGCATGAACTCACAAAAAGGATTCGGGACTTCTTTTATTCAGGATAGTCGTAAGCCTAAGAAAAATACGACTTTACAGAAAGAAATAAGCCTAGAAGAAGGTTTAAGCCCTAAAACATCCCCACCCAACCCCCTCACGAACAACGGTAATCTCTCCAACCATCAATTTAACCATCAAATCACATCTTCCATACACATCTAATCTACCCTTCCCCACCCCACCCCAAAACCCCCTCTTCCCCCTCCCCCTCTTCCCCCTCTTCCCCCACTCTCCCCACCACCTCTCCCAAAGAAATCACCTTTCTCAAAATTTGGCGAAAATAGCTAACTCCATCATATAGACGCCCAAGAACCCATCTGTGACTGGTGTGGACAGTGTCACAGTGGTGGTGCTAGGAAGGAGGTAGAATGGGAGGTTATTGGTGAGCAAATTTTCATCAACTTATAATCTATTATAGATCCTGACTCTCAGAAGCCAAATATCTTTAAAAACGGAGAAGATTGTTCTCAACAGAAAAAAGATCTGACTGATGATACATATTATTATTCTCGAAGCTCTGCTTCACCCTCTGAACTATCTGAAGAATTAGATGACTCTTGTGCCAATAAAAGATCAGATAGTTCCTTTGAGAATGTAGATAGCTTAGTTAAGGGCCAAATTTTTAATGATGATTTCAACTGTTCAGATAATTCATCGTCTCAAGAGAGTAAAAATTCGTTGAAAAAGGAGATATCTGAGACTCCTGAGCCTAAACCGGCTCAAGATGAAAATGAAACTCTAGGTAGTACCTTATTGTCAGGAACACTTACCAATGAAGAGGACGATCACTCTCTGCTCTTAAATCTTTCTACAACAGAAAGTAAGAGAAACAACTAAATGGTTTTAAATCCATCCCCAAAAGAAAATTTAAGCATGATTTGAGCATTTGATAAGTAAGTCACTAAATTTTAACAAAAGTTTCAACTGCTCATTCTTTAGGTATCAGGCTCAAATAAGCTTTACAAGAATTACTTCCATTAAGAGAGACAGTATCTAAAGCCTATATTATTTACGCAAATTGGATACAAATCAAGCTTTAAACAAACACAAAACTTTAGTAAACTCCCTCTGGATTTACTAAAATAAACATCAGTTCAGAGCCCAAGTTATAGACCTAGTCTTAACATACGTTGACCAATCTCTACTATGAGCTCTATTTCCCATCCTTTAGACCGTAATTCGCTTGAATCTACTTAAAAAGTTATCAACTTTGAGAGTTTTACAGTAGATAAAGTATTTCATTAATTGAAAATTGCATCTGTAATTTATTTGGATAAATAAGGGTTGGTTTAAGATACCAGTCTTTTTACCATATCTGAAAGAAATTTGTAATAAAGAATCTGGTTCATTAATAAGCTCTCAAATATTCCGACTCTGTAAGGCATTCTTTCTTGTCAATGCTTATATGTTTTAAAGAATTCTGCCAATAATTCATTTAAGTGTGAGAAAAATTGGGGCTAGAGTAGACTATCAGACAATGAATATTGGCCTTTCACATTTTAAGGATGACCCCTTTAATGTTAAAAGGACAATGGTGCATATGTATTATGAGTATTTTGACAATGGTGCAGAGATTTCAGACAATTTAAACCTTAGGGATTTAATGTAAACAAAAGTTTTCTACAGAGAAAAGTCGTATATTTATGTCCAAAGTTGAATTGTATGAAAATTTAATCCAGAGAATTGTCATAAAAAACTTTTCTTCTAAATTCATGCTTTAAACGCTTTAAAGATGCAGTGAAATTGTAGAAAGTTCAGTTGATCTCTTTTAGTTCTCAGCTATTTTCAAGAGTTCATGAGTGCTTATTTAAATCAAAGATATTTGGCCTCTCCAAGGTCACTCTGCAGCTTAATATTATTCGAATTGGATGAGACCTAATTAATTCAGAAGCATGAGTCAAAAAGTTTTTGGACTCGGAGAAGAAGATATACTTCAAAGACCAGGTATAACTTACCGGGTGCTGCCAACAAGCCTCAACACAAGTATGACTAAGGATGGTAGGGGGAGTTTATTAAGAGAGGACAAGTAGATGGTCTATGAAGAGAAAGAGATTGACAAACAGAAATATTGAAGACATTTTAGCAAATCCTGTTTTAAGAAAGTAAGAGTAAAGATAATAATGGTATTTAGTTTTCAATACTGAAGTGAGAGCTCGGGGTTTTGGGGTTTTGGGGTTTTGGGGTTTTGGGG